TGCATTACTTATCTCCATTGTCTTCCTATTTTGGCAGTCTTTACTAAGAGGTAGATTCTTGAGAAATAACAGAATGGTTGAAGGTGACAGGTCTACCTCGGTTGCAGCCAGTGAATTAGGCTTATTAAGACAAAAACAGAATGTATCTGGTCTAAGGTACTTCGTTCTTTGCTTTATATAATATCAATGATTTCTTTTAAATATTCTACTAAGTTCATCTTATGCTATATTATGAGAGAATTCCCCTATTTTTTATTCGTGTCTTATGGAAGCATCTTTAATTATATGAAACTTAATTTGAGAAAACCTTTAAGCAAGGAGAACTGGATCCATTCTGAAAATTAAATCTTTAATTTAATCTGGATGTTTTCAATGAAAGCTTTAAAATAATGCCCCTTCCAATGATTTAACTCATATAACTCACCAAGATTCTGGCCTGCAGAAAAGGAACCTTTTCGTAACATTTTTGGAAATTAGTAATAATATCCATGAGAATGTAAAGGCTACATGGGCTTGTCTTTCCATTTCAGTCTGTTATTAAGGTTCTCGATGAAGAGTTTTAGGATCTTAAGAGATGACGCTATAGTATGGTTCTTGATTCTGACCTGGAGATCATGGTTTCAACTTTCAAGTCACCACAGCCTGAAACACTTGTCCACTCCCTTAGACTGCAAATTTAGGCATTTTGGTTGGTTGGCTGGCCTGAATATAGGACCTTTTACACTCTTATTTTGTAATTGACTGTTTGACTTCAGGGTGTAGAAAGTATTAACCTGCTTCTTCTGGTTTGATCATTTAAGTATTGTTCTTTATAGATGAGTGAGGTCACCACATTTTACCTGTATTAGGGAGGACCCTTATAAATTATAAAATGGCAAGGTTGAATTGTACATTTCACTTTATTTAGGTGCTCTTGGCCAATCATTTTTTTTTTGATTGTTCAACTTAGTATTGACCTTCTAAATATTATCAGCGGTTGCTACTAATATGATCATGTTTTTCCAATGCAAGGTTAGGTTTGATAAACTATAAAATTTTGCCCGTCTCAACTCTTTTTTTCTCCTGAAATAGCTTAACTGTAGGATCTTTTGGACACTTGATTATTGGAAGTTCACAAAGGATACTCGGTTGAATTAGATAATAACTTTCAAATCTTTCCATTTTATTTATATGATGCCATTTTCATCTTTTGGTGGTAACATTTTCACAATCTGTGGCCATGTATCAGGGAAGGTTTTTTATCCCGACTGGATAATTTGGGTTCTGGTCCTGCAACCAGTAATCATTCAGACACATCTTCTAACACTGACAGTAATAATAATAGAAGTGAACAAAACCAAGTAAATAATACACATTCTGCCATAGATGGATTAAATGACCGATTTGAGTGTGAGAATGAGGAAACTGATAATCAAAGATCTTTGGTTCACACAACTGATTTAGAGGTTGAAGCTGAAGATGTAAGTTGTCAAGCAACTTCTGCTCGTGTAGAAGAGTGGCAGGAACAAATTTCTGAGAGTGTGGTTAGTAACCGGCAGTGGTCTGCCAGTGCTGAGCCTATTGAAAGCAGATGTGATATTGGACAAGTCTTGGATGGGGACAGGCAACAAGATCTGGCTAATGTGTCCAGTGAAACTTTACCGAATGAAGCTGGAGAACAAAGTAGTCTACAAGAATCTGGTGAAGCATCTTACGAACATTCTCCCCATGATGGTGAGAGAGGTCGGACCTATGGGTTAATGAATGTTGTAGAAAATGTAGAAACAATTCTGGTTGAGTATATTGATGGCCAAGAGCCTGCTTCTCAAGGTGAACAATGGCAGGAAGAGGATCAGGAAAATGAGGATGCAGACTGGCAGGAAGCAAATGTGGAGTATAATGAGGTGATGGATGGTGGTAATGAAGAAGCCTTTGACTTGCATCATGAGGACGGTGAGAGTGAAAATAGAGATTATGATCACATGCAAGAAGCTCTTGACACGCAGCATGAGGATGCTGGCTTACATGACACAAGACAGAATTGGTTTGAAGTGTCTTACAGTCAACAACCTGCTACGATTGGGAGAACGGACTTTCCTGATGATGATAATGTACACAATACGGAACTGAGGGAACTGTTAAGCAGGTGTGAATTATATGACTGGATTTATGTATGCATCTCCCTGATTCTGTATTCTTCTGAGTTATTTTTAATATTGTAGGAGAAGTGTGTATACCCTTCTTCGTAGTGGTTTTCGTGAGAGTCTTGACCAATTGATACAATCATATGTGGAAAGGCAAAATCAAGGTTCTATGGACTGGGACCTGAATGAAGCAGTCCCTACTCCTGAATCTCTTGAACAAGATATAGAACTGGAAAGCAGGAATCAAAATGAGAGTCAGAGTCCTCCAGCCACTGTTCTTTCGTACAGGATGCAATCAACGCAGCCACTCTGGGACCAGGATTCACACCACTTTAATTGGCAGCCACATGATGTAGACCAGCGCTTTGGCATTGTATGTCCAACTCTTCTTCGAGCCTAATCAGTTCTAGTACTAATCCTTTGGTCTTAATGGAGTTTGTGGTTCTAATTTGGTGCAGGAGTGGGAGATAATCAATGAATTAAGGGTTGACATGGCAAGATTGCAGCAAAGAATGAATAACATGCAAAGGATGCTGGAGGCCTGCATGGATATGCAACTTGAGTTGCAGCGGTCAATTAGACAAGAAGTTTCTGCTGCCCTGAACTGGTCATCTGGCTCGCAAGGTTTGTTTCTTCTTTCCTCATATACTTTCTCACTTGTGGACCTGACCGGCCCTGCATGATACTGCCATAATCCTCAATATCAAATATTGTTTATTGAATCGACACTTTCAACAGGAAGAAGTTACAACAAATCACTGGTTGTTGATGTTCTAACAATATATTCGTCTTTGTTCCGTAAACGAGGCTTTTTTCTCATTCTGGACTTGCTTTATTCTACTGCAGTCATGATCGATGATGACTTGCCCAAGGATGCATGTTCTAACTGGGATAACGTCCGGAAAGGAATCTGCTGTATATGCCGTGAAGGCAATATCGATTCATTACTATACAGGTAGATCTCTTAAAAGTTTCATCCATCAATTTCATATAGATTTTTTAGGCCTTCAACATTTTTACATCATATAATCATAGATGCGGACACATGTGCACGTGCTCGAAATGCGCCAACGAGTTGGTTCAAGGCGGAGGGAAGTGTCCGATGTGTCGTGCACCAGTAGTTGAGGTCATCCGTGCTTACTCAATCCTTTGAATAGTAAAAGAAATCTGGATTAACAATTATAGACATTTGCTCCTGGATCGACTCCATCACCAGGTATATCCTTTATTTGTTCTCTTCACCCCCTATTCTTGAATTTCGGTGATTTGATGATGTACATAAACTCAATGTATGATCGAAACAAAGCATGTGATCGTTAATTCAATTCTACAAGTAATCAAAATAAAAGCTTTGAGTGTAAGATTGTTAATTTGATATACATCTCGAGGTGAATATTGAAAATATGGCCACTTTTTATTGTGATGCTCTCAAATCATTTCAAATTATATTAAATATAAAATGAGGGAGGTGATTTTTTTTTATATAAATATGGGTGATTAGAAGGGTAATATCTATTTAAAAATATTTTCAATAATTTGAAAATAAATACTCAAATATTATCTTATTGAAAAAATAATTTCGAATGAAATATATTGTGTTCTAGTCTTTTTTAATGTATCATCCTCTTAATCGAATTTTAAATTTATATTATCTTCGTACAAGATAATTGACTTTTTTTTCTTGAAAGTAAACCACTCATCTTATGAATATAATGGGTCAATAATATCAACCAAATACATTCTGAGCTTCCCTCATGCACTACAATTGTTTATGCAAGCTTTGAAGCGATAGTGGTTAATGTTTGTTTTGTTGAATGCCATAACATAGTTGTATCACTCGTACCTGCTGGTAGCGGAACATAAGCATAAAACACTGGTAATATTTAATATTTAGTTGGAATGGTCCGATCCGAATATATAATGTTATATTATAACTGAAATAATTATTTTATTGTATACGTATTTTTTTCTTTTTAATACATCAATGAAAGCACAATTAAAATAAATCATTCATGAGAATAGACATACATTCTAAGCCAAACAAGTACTGACGAACACGTAAGCATTATCGATATTTCCTAAAATGTTTTCATAAATCAAGTCAAAACCCAAAGTTTATAGCACCGGATTATTATTAGTTATCACGAATGATTCTATGCTAAATTTCAACTCAATCAAGTTCTCAATCAGCGCCAATTGCTAAAATATTTATTGTTAGGGACTAAATTATAAAATAAAATAAGTTTTTTACCTACTTGAAAAGTCAAATTAGATACTTTCTAGTTGAAATTAAATACATTTTAAAGTCACATGCCAAATTTCAGGTAATTCTGAACTAAAACAATCATTTAAATTTAAGATCATAAGTGATGATGTCGTGAGATAGGTAGATACCTGTTGTAATATGTTCCTCTCAATTCCTGTTAACTCTCATTTTAAAGATATATATACTCCTTTTATTTAGTAATAATTTTTTCTCAAATGTTCTATCTATATATATATACTCTTTTAATTTAGTAAGAAAATTTTCTCATTATTTTATTTTAGTAATTCTTTATGAAATTTTTACAATATTCGACGAGTATTGTTGAACACTACTAATAATGAGCATCATTAATTTAATTTATAAAAATTTAAAATTCTAAAGGACTTAATGTATAATTATTAACAAAAGCGCTAATGTGACAGTTAATAGAATTGGTATAATTATACATTTGGTCACTGTTACTTATGTATTCTATCAATTTAATCCTAATTTTAATAAATTTAAATTTTTTATAAATCTTTGGATGTGCTCGAAAGTAAAGCCATTATTGCATGATTGCGATACACATAATAACACTCGTTATGTTTGCAATAGTAATAAACGAAATGCAACTAAAACCACGACCGTGACCGCAAATTAATTTTATGCTTATGAGTCCTTGTCCGAAATAGAATAGGCGTGATGGTCCTGACCTCGATCCCTTGGATAATGAGACCACGCTTCCAGATAGGGCCCTCATCCTCCAAAGCTCTCATTTCCAAATCCACATCGTCAAGGCATCCCTCATTGAAGAACTCCACCTCTAACCACTCGTCTATTCTGGCATTTGGGAGCCGATCATCATCGCTAGGGTAAGTAGTTGGTATGTTTTAATCTGTCAATCCTGTAGTTTCTGTCCTCTTTCTGGGTCCAAATAAGCAGCCGTCTTACTACATTGACCGCCAACAAATCCAACACTAAGCTGTACAGTATAGAGTTTGAATCCGTAAGCGTCATGCACTTCGTAAACAAGGTAAGCCTTGTACAACATCAATGGTGAAAGCATGGAAATATTAATCTTCCCACGGATTTCAAACCAAGAAATACTCAGAAGCACCGGTATCTCTTTGAACCTATTTTAACATCAAAATATTTTACATGGGAAGGAGGAGAGTGATACATGGATTCAGGTATAGAAACCCATGTCCAATAACATGGGATGGCACTCCATACGATGAGGAGCTCCCTAAGTGACACTATGTAACATCTCTTCCCGCTTGATCTTCGCAGTGACAAACTCTGTTTCATCCAAACTAGCAATATTAATACTAAGTTACATGGAAAGATTCATTTAAAAAAAAATCATTTTAAAATAATCAATGTGAAATTTGAATTAAAACGAAATAATCGAATTAAAAATAATTATAACTTTATTTAAAAAAATGAAATTTTGAATTAATGTGAAATTTGGGAGTCGTCATCGACCTTTTAGTTAGGTCAAATACCTAAAAATGTCATTTAAAACAACTTAAAAAAAATTATTTTAAAGACAAAAATTGGCTTGCGTTTACCAAAGATTCATTTTTAATAGTTCGGGAGTCGATTACGTGTGGGGAAGGGTGAGCACCCCCACAACGCCTAAAATTGATACCTAATACCTTATACGCCGTCTTAACAATGAAACTTGCATATTTGAGTAAAAATTAAAGTGCGGCTCTTTTTATCAAAATTAATCAAGTTCACTTTTCATTTGATTGTCGTCGAATCACACCACCTCAAACAAGTTGTGCTTTTCACGCCCATTCTACAACCAATGTTCATGAAAATATATACGAGTAAGCAAATAAAAATATCAGTCTCAAGTATAATGGATATGAAAATATTTATGGAGTGGTATTTGATAACTTAAGGTAAATAAATAAATGCAAAGAAAAAAGCAAAAAGAATAAAAATAAAACGAAATGACATAAAACATGTTAAATGCATATATAACTAATTCAAATTATTCCCAAAAAAATAACTGAAATATACAAGCTATCTTTAAGGCCTAATATATGCACGCAAACATATATAATCCACAGTGTGAACATGCATAAATAGGGAAGATTAAAAAATATCAAAACAAATAAATTACAACAAGCAATCAAATTAATCGACGCCTAAATTAAGGGATCAATTAATTAAAAGGGGAAAACGAAATCATAAGCAGATTTAAAGATCAAATATAAATACCATGAAATGAAATCGGGACCAAATTAAATGAAATCAACAATTTCATGCTTAAAACAAACTAAACAGAACTGATATGGTAACTTTGCAAATAAATAAACTTAATTAAGGACGAAATTGGAATAGAAGTAAATAAAGCACAACAATCAAAACAAATATGGAAATCTTACACAACAAAAGTAGGACTAAAATAGAATACATAAAAATTACGAGGGAACAAACGTACTATTAACCCGAACACCAATATCAACATGATAGTGACTAAAATGCATGCAACATAAAAGTTGAAGTTCAAAATAAGAAACATGAAATTTGCATTGAGTGACTGAAATGAAGGGATACAAACATTGAGTGGCCCCTGGTGCGATTATCCCACGAGCTACAATATAGATCCCTCCCTTTTAAAATGATATAGTTTTTAGGGTTGTATATATTCTTCTTTTATGGGTTATGAAACCCTCCCCTTCAAAATTGGGGTATGACCCCTGGTGTATTATCACATGCGCTAAAATACATAATCCTTCCCCTTCAAAATTTTTTCCCTTAAATTGGAGTGTGACAATTCTCCCCTCCTTAAAAGAATTTCATCCTCGAAATTCACTCAAGTCACAGTAATGCAGAAATAAAGCTTCAATCAGTTCTTCCATATCTTCAAGTAGCTTTTACAGAAGTATGTGTCCTCTATTAATCCTTAACCAGCTGAGTATACATTCTTGTCAAAACTCTCCCTCATGCCAATAAAAGAATCAGAACGAAATTATCCTTGTGGAATTAATTCAACATTGGTTACGAGGTTAGGTTCATAGAGTGATAACATATCCTAATTTCATTTTGTTATCAGGTTCAAAATTTCTCGAATGAGTATCTCTCACATGACTCGTGAGGCACTTTTCAGAATTTGGACAAACATTACTGGTATTCCCTTATGCATAGGTCGAGCCTTAACATATAGAAAACTTAGGTTAGCTCGTTACAAAGAGGGAATCGGCATTGGAGTTCCTGCTTGAGAAGTACAGTTATATTCTAGGGGCATGTACTGACCAGACATCTTTTAACTATTGACCGACCGGTCTATCTAAAAAAAATTCAACTCAACCTAAGCTCTGATGCCACTAAATGAAATCCCACAGACTGATGCGGGTGGCCCGATTCGATCTAGAGTGTCACATTAGGGCCACCTGAGTGACTCACCGTAAAATCCTGAAAAAATTAATTTTTTTTATTAAAACATATAAAATCATAAAATAATTTATAAATACAAAAGTAAAATTTATCAATATTCAGAAATAAAACAGAATTCAGACTCGTATATAAAATACAATACAACCTACATGCCCCCTGATCACATGCACCGTACTCTGCAAGTAACGCCAACGGAACTTCTTTACTGAGGTCGATAGTTGCACTGGTTCAATCCTTTTAACCTGAAAATGTGAGTAACTGATTGAGCTTTGGGAAGCTCAGTAATACAAAACTACCAAAAGATGCTGAAGAACATGCAGATAATAGGCAAGCATTAAAACTTCCTTATCGATCCAAGCGTCTAGAGGTTTTCGGAATGAGTTGAGGTTCCATGGATATTTCAGGTTGTAAAAGACATTAAATTTTTCGTTTAGAGTAAACGTTCGGAGGACTAGGTTCAGGAGATCAGAACAGGGTGTCTAGTGTGTTCCCACAAATCCAGTGAAAATATACATATCTTTTTAAAACAATAACAATTTAAAACTTATTTTTAAAAACCATAATAAAACTATCCAGCAGAACGCCATATGCATTTCCCCAAAACTGCATCTATAAGGACTTACCCTAGGCCCAAAAGAGCGTATGAGCCAATCTAAGGGAGCACCTTAGGTCCATAAGGTCTTACCCTAGCCGAAGCATAGGTGCCCACCTGAGGGGAGTGCTATCAGGTCCATAAGGTCTTACCCAAAAGAACATAGTAGTGCTGTCATTCCTAAGGGAGTGCCTTAGGGTCCATAAGGTCTTACCACTAGGCCCATTAGGCTTAGGAGCCCACCCAAGAGTCGCCTTAGGTTCATAAGGAATTACCAGTCGGTGTTAAACCTATACAAGGAATTATGAACAGCGACTGAACCTTCCAGTGTCTTCAGTCATGTCTTACCAGAGTCCAGAGTACCTTGTATAAAAATAATTTCAGTCAGTAAAATAGAGAAATTAGTAATCTGAGCAGAGATCAGAATAGAAATCAGAGTTCAGAGAAGAAATCAGAGGTCAGATTGTATTCCAAATAACAGAGTCATACTTTTAAAATCAGAGAAAACATTTATGATGATCAGGGGACACATTAGAGGTTCCAGATATTATTCGGAGGTTATTGGTATTTTTCAGATAGAGAGTCATGAAACTTCTGTAAACTGATTAAATTTAGAAACAAGATCCCTATAAAAGAGTTTGATGGTTGACAGATTCATCAGTTATTCGGAACTTGATTTATCACAATCATAGTATTCAGATATTTTTTGAAGTCACTATGTAATCAAAAAGGGTATTCAGAATCATTTGCATCAGAATTACTCGTGTTTTCAGATATGACAAGAGTAATTTCATTATCCAGAAAATTATAGGCATTTTTGGGCATTAGGTTCTTGGAGAATTCTTAGTGATTTCAGGATATTTACAATTTATGTCGACTATCAGAATATCAAGTTAACTCGAACTATACAACTCCCATAAATGATACCTGACAACCGATCAAATCGTTGCACTTCTAGAGTATTCAATTTTAATATATACAATTATTGTCGAATTGATCATCAGTGTTCCAGACTTATCCAAATTATTCACTTAATTCAGGGATATCATGGTACTTAATTCAATTAGTATTCAAGTTATCCCGGTCACTTAGGAATTTCTTGAGTAATTCAGTCATTTTCGTAAATTCGATTACATACATTACTTCCATTCCGTTTAACTTGGTCATATAATATATGAGGTTAATTTGTTCATTTCAGAGCTGAGGGTAATTAATTATTCCAGAGCTGAGGGTAATTAATTATTCCAGAGCTTGGACGTGCTTCAAATCATATTACACTTCAGGGGCATTCTAATTAAATCAGGAATTTACTTGGTAATTCCAAGATTCATGTGGATCATAATTTAAGTTCTCAAGTCGTCTTCATTATCATATTCATCCATAGTCCTTTTTACTCTTTAAGGGTATTATCTTCATTTTATTTAATTTTGTCAGTGACATTACTTCTGATAACTTAGGCTTGAAAGTATTCTAGTTCCTTTAGAGTTCAGAGTACGTTTCTCATTTGCTCACTAGAGGTTAATTTCACCACTAGGGGAAGTCTTGGTCCTTTTTCAGTATAAGGGCATTTTTGTAATTTTATCTCATAGTGTTATTTTTTGGTAAATTTCCTTCCAAATATTTCCAACATTTAACCTTTAACGAGATTAATCAAAATTTGCGCGTTCTGAGATTTATTGATTTACTGATTGAATCTTTGAATTGAGATTTGTTACTGATCGGTCTACCAATTTCTTTTACGAGTCGTCTAAGTCCTATACAATGCTCCATCTTTAATCCAATTTCCATATGAGTCCATAGATATTTAATTACCCTAGCGGACCAATCATTTCCATACATGCATTTACCATTTTATTAGTAAGTTCCGAAAAACATACAAAATATAGTAAAGTATTACCTCAGTTTTCGTGTTCGATCGACCATTTAAACTCTATTCGATTGCCCTCGAACTTGAATTCAACGTTCAATAATTCCTCAGATACATAGCAATCGAATTTACGTTAGAAACTGAACTTAATTGAGAAACCAATTTGAATCCGAAGATAAATCACTGAAAAATGGCTTACTGGTGCGAATTTGGCAAAACATACTTCATATTCGAACTCAAGACGTCGAAAAACATAAAATATGTCATTTTTTGAAAAAGTTAACTTTTTCAGTCAAAGTCAATAGGTTGACTCAGACGGGTTGACTCGGTGACTGAACCAGACTAGGCGGGTCGGGCAGGCGGGTCGACCTGGTTCTGGAAAATTCCTTGGACCAAAAACAAGCCCAACACGCGGGTGGCGGCGCGTGCGGCAGCGATAGAGGTCGGGGCGATCGACCGATTTCTCCCTGTTCAACAATTACAACCAAAAATCAACCTGAAACCCCATCAAAATACCAAAATTCAATTGAAACTTACCCAACGCCGGTGACGGAGAGAAATCGACGGCATTGACGTGACCCACCGGTAGGGTTTTCAGTAAAACCGATCGGGGAACACGGTGCTGGAGTTGATGAGGTGGAACGACCACCAGATCTACCATAATTCGTGAAATTCGTGACGGCAACGAAGATTGTCGACGGGGCTTTACAACTTCGATTGGTGCCTGTTGACGCCGATTTACGCTGCAGGGGTCTTTGGTTTAAGGTCACCGGTCGTTGGTGGTTCGAATGGGGTGGCAATGCACCTAATGATAGTCAGACGACGATGACTTGGGAGCACGACAAGTCTTCGATTGGGGGAAATTTTAGGGATTTATGTTATGAAATTAGGGATTTTGGGGTTTTATCGATCGGGGGTAAGCTTATTTTTCACTGGTATAAAAAATGGTAAAATCTGGGTTTAAGACCCTAAACTTCCCATAAGTTTCAAAACCAAGCTATAACTTACTAAAATTTACAATTTGGCCCCTGACTTTTTCCTTTGTTATTACCTTAATTTGATTCTTATGATTATTAAATTTTTGTCCCTAAATTGGGGTATGACATTAATCCTCCAATTGAATGATGTCACATGTCATGCCACGTAGTGATAAGCATTCGATCGAGCCAAGTCAAAAAAATTGAGTTATTCAAGTTGACGACTCCTATTTTATAACTCGGAGTCGACTTAAAATTTTTTCAAGTCGAGTCAAATTTTTGAGTTTCTGTTTAAATTTAATTATAAAAATTTATAATATTATGATATTATATGATTCCAATTTAAATGATCTTTTATAACCATATACAATACATGTATATTTCTTCATATTTTTTTCGTATGTGATATACATTTATGATACAAAGTCGAGAGACTCAACTCAAACTTGAAAATCAATCCACTAATTACTAAATTTTTTGAGTTATTTGAGTTGTATTTTGCAACTCGGTTTGAACTTGAAATTTTTTCGAGTTGAGTCGGGTTTATGAAAGTTAATATTCCGACCGAATGGTGACATGCGGCATTAGGGGTGAGCGAAATTCGACTCTTGACTCTTGAAAACTTGACTCGAGTTAACTTTGAGTTGTAATTTCATAAACCCCACTCAACTCGAAAAATTTTCAAGTTTAAACCGAGTTGTAAAATACATCTCGAATAACTCGAAATTTTTAGTAATTAGTGGATTGATTTTCAGGTTTGAGTTGAGTCTCTCGATTTTGTATCATAAATGTATATCACATATGAAAATATATGAAGAAATACACATCTATTGTATATGACTATAAAAGATCATTTAAATTGGAATCAAACAATATCATATTATTATAAATATTTATAATTAAATTTAAACAAAAACTCGAAAATTTGACTCGACTCGATTCGAAAAAATTCTAAGTCAACTCCGAGTTGTAAAATATGATTAAATTTATTTTAATTTATTAAAAGTATGACTAAATTGAGAGAATATGTAAATAACAAGGACCGAACGTATGATTATATCAAAATACTTAACTGTTGTTAACGGCAGTTAACTCGTGGTGACACATCTTAACTAAATAAAAAACGAATGTGACAATATCTTATGTTTTTTTGAAATCAATAATAAAAAATGAACAAAACATAAACGTAAATGATTTTCCATGTAGTTAACCCTATTATAAATCACTCAAAAGTTCCTTCTAAGCCTATTTTTACTTCATCACAAAATATATGAAAAATAATATTATTCGCAAAAAACTAAATCCAATTTGATGAAACGTGAGACATAAATTTACATACAGATTGAAATCTCATTTCTTGTTAATTGAATTGCTTACATTTGTTCTTGTTTTATCCCAACACATTTTATGCTTTCAAAAATTAAAATCAAAATGATTCGAAGAATAAATTTATTTTAATTTATTAACATTATGACTAAATTAATAGAATATATAAATTAATAGTGACTAAATGTGTAAGATTTGAATCCCTGACCTTGATTAAGAGATCTAGTGTCTCATCTTATTAAACCAAATAGTTATTGGTGTAGTACATAAGTTATAATTTTTTTTAACATTAGGACCAATGGTGTAGTCTATTTAGTTTTTACCTGCTTTATTTATCTGGTTTATTAGAAAAAGCGTAAATTGCTTAATTAGGAACTCAACTTTCTTGTTACTCCTATTTCGGTCACTCAGGTCGTCAGGTTGAGTGATGAATTAAGTAATTTACCCTTAAAAAAATGCATTTTTCACGAAAGGGAGGAGAATTCAGTAACCAATAAAAAGAACAAAAGAGAGGGAAATCAAAGTATCAAACACTATAAACATTGTGTTTTCTCAAAAGAGCCAAAGCAAATGGCGGCATCAAATTCTGCTCCAACGAGAGAAGAAGAAGAAGAAGAACAAAACCAACTCGAAAAAGACCGTTTTGTCCCTTCGCATCACCCTTCCGCACCGCCGGATGAGGTTGCTAATCAACAGCTATGATTTCACTTCGCTCATCGTTTTTTGTGTTCTAAAATTTGAATTAGATTATTTTTTTTATTTAATTTAATTTTGAAAATATGCCTGTAATTTTGAAGCTAAGATTCCCCCCCCTTTTTTTGTAGTTATTTGATATTTCCACAACAGTTGATCCGAGTTACGTAATTTCATTGATAAGGAAACTTCTTCCAGTTGAACCGAGAAGCGGTGGTAATACTGAAATCCGGGGATCAAATTGTATTGATGAAGTTGTAAATTTGTCAAACGATAGTTGTAAAAGCAGGGAGGTTGTTGATGATTCTACTAAATCTGATTTTCGAGGGGAAGGCGATGGGGATATGCGCGAAGGGGGAACTGCTCATTTATCAGCAGGGGAAGAGGTTTGGGAGGAGTGCGGTTGTGTTCTGTGGGATCTTGCTGCAAACCAAACTAATGCCGAGCTCATGGTAATATTAATATGCCTTTATTGCTT